AATCAAAAAACGTTTTAAGCATATTTCTGAATACAAGATCAGGATGTTAGTTATTTTCTGTTTGTTGAACAGTGCACATTAATATAAGTTAAAGCATTTCTATTTACAGATGGTTAACTCTCTAGTCATATAGTTTCGAATTTCAATCGGTTCATTACATTCACTTACACGCAAATAATTTTGGGAAAGGCATGAACCCAGCTCCTCTTCTAGCTATGAGTTAAATAGCGTGACTTGGAAAATAGGAGTAGATAGGTTCGCCTATCGCTGGTTCACGTTCCTCCCCGGTCTTTTGAACAGGAGTAGACGTTTATCTCTTGTTTCCGGTTTAGAATTGGGTTTCCGGTTCCTTCTAAAGTCTATTTCAACCATATAGTTTTAACGTTTCTGTTTCAACGTTGATATTTTATTTAGTAATTATTTACTTGCTTATTTTTTTCTCTTTCCGCTTCAATAGGAGTAGATAGGTTTGCCAAAATATCAGGAAATATGATCTGGGATACTGATCAAATTCTTGTATTTAAACTGAAAGAGAAACCTTTTAATATACCCGTCGTAGTTGTATATGCATCAACCGCACAAAGTGCAAAGAAGAAACTGAGGAGACAGCAAACAATGCCAAGTTAAGGCACAAAATATTGAACATTGAACAAAGAAATTAGGAAGAAATGTAGTCAGTTAAAAGAGGAATAGGTTAATAAAAAGTGTGCAAAAAAACAGAAAGAATGTGCATCACAGATATGCATAAAATAAGGAGTTAATAGGTTCATATATCGTCCGGTTCATTCTCCTCCCTGTTTTTTTAACAGGAGAAGAGGTTTATCCCTTGTTTCCTGTTTAGGATTGGGTTTCTGGTTCCTTCTAAAGTCTTTTCGTTCTTTTTCACTCTCAGTAGCCCGTTGCGTCTTAGTGGCATTATCGCCTTGGTTGGGCTGAAACAAAATATGTTTGTGTATGAGTTTAATGAATATTTTACCTATATTTGTTTTTACGTTCTTGTATGTATATATATATATATATGTTTAAATAAGTTTTTCGTGGTACAGAATTTAATAATAGATAGGAAAAGACAATATTTATAAGGCATTTTTAAAAGCAAAAGCTAAAATAAAAACAACCGGTTTCGTCCCAGGACTTATCAAGTTTATTTATTCTGGGAATTTAAAAAAGCGTGTAAATTAATTTTATATTAACGAATGTAATCGAATGGGGGAAAAAAATATGAATTTCAAGAAACTAAAGTCCAATAATATTCAGACCCAGCAAGCATTCCCTCTGTTTACAAAAGGGAAGGCTCACGGGATCCGATATACAAGGACTCTAGAACCTTGAGGTGAAATGTGGAGTGGGACCTAGATAAAATTATAAAACGGTCACCACTAAAATTTTCCACACATTTCCTTCTATTTATTAAATGTTCAGCAATAGCAGAACCAGAACTGTTAGTCAGTTGGCTATTCCTGAGGATGGATTCAAAATCCTGGGGGTAAATGCTATTTTATTCTCGAATAATATATATATATATATATATATATATATATATATATATATATATATATATATATATATATATATATATATAATGCGACTTTGTGACGATATAGTAAAGAAAGTTTCGTACACCTCCATTATTTACTAACTTTAACTTAGTTTAGCACAGAGCCACAAGCATGAAGGATCAGATTCTCTACTCAGTTCTCAAAGGATACCATAAAGGGTGGGAGTCTTAACGTTACAATAAACTATTTGTATATCGATTATTCATTAAGTTGAAAATGGGACTAAAAGCAAAGGAATTCGTATCGGCGGGAAAGGTTCGTACAATAACCTTGGTGAAGGTATGAATCCAACCAGTATACGAGAAGGAAAACTCGTAATTATAAAAAAGAAAACGTATGTGACTGGTGGCTAACGTCTGTTCAGTGTAAAGCACAGGTTATCCCTCTTATTTTTATTTTTTGCCACTTCACCCCAAGCAAGGCAATGAAGCCACTAAGACGCAAGGAGGGTTACTGAGTGTGAGAGAATATGTGAAAAAGAAAAACATTTTTAAGGAGAGAGAAAAAAAATAATAAAGGAACAGGAATTAAGAAGACAGAAAATAACGATTGAAAATAAAATTACCATTATTAAGGATCAAAGTTGAATGAAAAACAAGAAGAAAAATGTGAGAGAAGAAACCGTTTCGGTGTTGAAGAAAAATAAATAGCAGAAATGATATATTTTTTTATATACTAATATAACTAATATAAGGCCCAAGAGCTACTCAAGGTAGATATTAATCTGCCTTTGACGTCATTCACCAACATAATAAAATAGGAGGCGTTACTTTCGGAATGACTCTCTTATCTATCTATCTATCTATCTATCTATCTATCTATCTATCTATCTATCTCATTTTGTGTTGTGGTAGGATCCACCTAATATGCATAGTGGAGTACCGACCATAGAAATATGGTTGGTACCGGGAAGAGAGGGAGGAATCAAGAGATTCAACCAGAGACTCTGCCCGACTGCGACTCAGTCAACACATTCTCCAGGAACGGTCTTACCAGGAATATACAAAAGACTATATGTAAATATTGTGTACACTTTCTTGTTTCAATACATTTTGTTCTAAGTATCTTTTGTGTTGCATTATTATTCCATGCATTAGTCAAGTTTCAACATTTTGTTAGAATCTTTCTATCGCATCATGTCCATATACATACATACATACATACATACATACATACATATATATATATATATATATATATATATATATATATATATATATATATATATAATTCTATCAATTAATATATCTCCTATTCATATCTAGCTATTTAATTCTAAAATCTATCTATCTATCTATCTCATCACGTCCATATATATATATATATATATATATATATATATATATATATATATATATATATAGCTAGTAGAGCCCGGCGTTGCCCGAGGATATAACAGTAAGAGATAGATCAAGTATCCACCATCATAAAGACTGAAAAATAAAATTGACAAAGATTATTGACGGACACGCATGTCTTAATTAGTTTTTTTTTTTTTTTTACGAATTGGTCAAACCCAAACTCAAACAAAAACATTGTTTTCAATCGTTATGAGTCTCTACCGATTGAATAGAATTTTATTATAAACAATTGTCTTGTAAATGGAATTTTTAAAGCATTCTGAATGTAAAAATAAAGAAAAAAGTGTGCAAGACAATAAGAAACACTACATGCCAAAAAAAAGTGAAGTTTTGTTGAAATCGGTTGAAAAATGTAGGTAGCCTTTCTGTAATCTTTTAGTTTTACAATTTATGATTTTTACTTATTGAATACAGTAATAAAAATTGTATATTTTCCTTGTGGTGATTCATAATTAGAATTCTGATTTGAATATATTTTCCACTCGTTGTTTCTATTACAAAAAATATTAACTTTATTTGGGTTTATTAATTATGATCTACCAAATCTTATTCATTTAGTAGCCTTTCTGTAATAATAATCTTTTTACAATTTATGATTTTTTACTTATTGAATACAGTAAAAAATTGGACACCATGTGTATTTAAAGTAGTTTCCCGTTCCGGTTATTATTTTTAGTTAGGACTTGTGTATGTTTAGATTTCATTATCTTTCCCTAAAGATAAAGAATTTATCCGATGTTTGTATTCGTACAATCAGTAGAGATCGTTAGATTATTGTTTAAGGTTGACGGACACGCATGTCTTAATTAGTTTTTATTATTTTTATTTTTTACGAATTGGTCAAACCCAAACTCAAACCAAAACATTGTTTTCAATCGTTATGAGTCTACTGATTGAATAGAATTTTATTATAAATAATTGTCTTGTAAATGGAATCTTTAAAGCATTCTGAATGTTAAAAATAAAGAAAAAGTGTGCAAGAGAATAAGAAACACTATCTGTCAAAAAAAAAAAAAGTAAAGTTTTGTTTTATCGGCTGAAAAATATAGGAAATCCGCTCCCATATTTAAAGGAACTCACACACACAAACAACCCGATGTGAGTTGTCCCCCTTCCATTTTCACGATGTCTCTTAATCGTGTTTTCAAATTGATTTTGTGCAAAAACAATTATATTTTTCCCATTTTTGGTGCTGTTAGAACCACCACAAGGTAATTTTATGTAGTCCTGTGAAGTTTTGTTGAAATCGGTTGAAAAATGTAGGAAATCCGATCCAATATATAAACGTTACACACACACACACACACACACACACACACACACACACACACACACACACACACACACACAATCTGCGTTTTATAATAAGTAAGATTCTATTAATATATATATATCTCATTCTATTCATATCTATCTAATTCTGTTAAAATTTCTGTTAGCATATATCTATCTCATCCTGTTCATATATATATCCATCTTTTCATATATATATATATATATATGTGTGTGTGTGTGTATGTGTGTGCGTGCGTGCGTGTGTGTGTGAATATCTTATTTTGTTAATATGTATCTATATCCTGTTCATATCTATCTATCTATCTATCTATCATTTCAATCTTTCATCTCTTTCTCTCTGCCTTTCTATCTTTCTCTTTTCCATTCACTTGTATAAAGACGTGCAAAAAATAATGATAGCGAACTCAAATTATTCTGAGATAATTGTTAAACGCGTATCAATTATCTGGAAATAGACGATGAGGTATGCAATATATTTGGCAAAGTAGCGTGACTAAATAAGTCTTTGGTTCGCATGATCAAAGAACACGTCTCTTCTATTCGGTAACATGTCGTGATTAAAAGAAGAGACAATTCGTTACCAGGTAACGATGTCGGTTGATCTGGGCACTCATCTATCAAAACGGCCCACGTTCTTGTCCAGGTCTGTCGTCTTTGATTTTGTTTTTTTGCTATCGGATGTTGCAAAGAAAACAAAAAAAACAAATAAACTTGTCCCTTATTCCACTTCTCCCCATGTTAGATTTTATTTTGAAAGTCAAATATTTTCAATATAAAATTACGCTTACGGCCATATCACGTTGAAACATCGGTTCTCGTATGACCACCGAAATTAAGCAACGTCGGGCCTTGTCAGTACCTGGATGGGTGACTTGAGTATATGCGGTTTTATAAGCTTGAATGTGGGGATGGTGTAATGGATAATGTCTCAGAAGTGTAAATCGAAGAACTGAGTTTCAATTCCAGCCGGGTTAATTATATTCACTTACGCGCAAGTGCCCTTTGCTTGGCCCTATCTCTTCTTCTCTCCCAGCGAAACCCAGAATCATTATTATCTCAAAAATTTCTTACCATCTAAAATTATTTTCTGGCTTTAAATAATCTGCAAAAGGTTGATAATCTGTAGAAAACAAATCAATGAATATAAAATTGATATTAACCAATCAATGTTAGTAAAATATTGTTGGTAGACATGAGAAAGTACCAAGTGTGGGCTATGTAACATCAAAATTAAGTAGGTAGCAAAATTTGGGTGGAGCAGTAACAGAAAAATGGTACAGAAATCTGAAATTACAGAGGCATAGGGAAAGGTGTCTTCCAGAAACTAAGCAAAGTATTAAGAGTTAGGAAAATTTCTTTAACAGATAACGATGTGACATGGAAATCAGTGCAGTGGAATTGTGAAAGATATCTTCCAAAAGCGAAACAAAGTATTAAAATATAGGAAGTTTCCGTTCAAAATAACAAAACAATACTGAATTGTTATATAATATCTAATCTTCTAGATGACAGTGAGTATTTGACAATCTTCTCACAGATGAAGAAGAGACTTGAAACGACAGAGATGTTCTCCCAACGAATATTAAAAATACAATGGCTAGAATATGTGAGTAACGTGGAAGTATTAAGGAAAATGGAAGCAAGTAAACTTACAATTAGAGAGAGATGACTGGCATTTCTAGGATACATAATGACGAAAGAGTGTATGGAGAATTTAACACTCACAAGACACGCTGAAGATCAGAGAAGCAAAGGAGAACAATAACCAACTGAATAAGTATGTGTAAGCGGAACAGGGACAGAGAAGAATGATAAAGGGTAATAAATTATTTAGAGCAACAGACGACAGGTAGTTGTGGAGAGCTATGATCGCCCACGCCCTGAAACGAAATAGGACGTAAAAGAAGTTTTATTTAAGAACTAGTTTTGGTGGTGTCATATTTTATTATGCAAATACAGTGCATAATTTATGCATAATTATATTTCAGTTGCGTTCCATCGTCTGAATCTCTGTGAACGAACTTCCGGTTCACTCAGTGACGCTGTCTTACTTTTCTGCTTCTTTTTTTGCTTAATTCGATCCATGGAGGATGACAGTGGAAATATTGTTGGATTTTATGTCGTGTCTATACAATTCCAACTTTCTCTCTTTGACAGTAGCTATGAGGTCTTCCAACGAGTCTATTTCTTGTTGATATTTCACATTGAGTTTTTCTAACTACATGACGCTGATATCGAAATTCCCGATACTTTCAGTTCAGCCCAATGGAGAATTCATAGGACGTTATGGAGAGGCATATCCACACTCTAGGTACTTCACTTCGCTGGGCTGGAGTATGTTCTTCACGATACCATACATATTGCGTGTAGCATGAAAACAGACTGTCGCCTCTAATTGTTGACTTCAGTGTTCACTTTTATATATATATATATATATATATATATATATATATATATATATATATATATATATATATATATAACATGATTTGGAACCTCAGTGTGCGAGTGATATTCTTAAACATTATCATCAGTTCCTGACCGGTTGTGGTGGTGGGGCCAATGCGCAACAGAGTACCATATCAGCTCTTTTCATATATCTCAGTTGCGTGTCTGAATCTCCGTGAATGATGTTCCCGTTAAACTCAGTGACATTGTCAATTCATTTCTTCCTCTTTCTGCTTCTTCGATTGCCTAAGATAGATCCAGGTAGGATGGCAGTGGAAAGTGTGTTGGCTTTTATGATGCCTCCATACAATTCCAACCATTTCTCTTTGACGGTGGTTATGAGGTCTTTCAACGAGCCCGTTTCTTGTCTGATAATTTCTCGCATCGCGTCTTTTTAACTATATGATATGTTAAATGAACTCCCTTGATACTTACAGTTCAGCTCGACATGAGCCCAATTTATATGGTGTTTTGGAGGGGGTATTAGCAGTAAAGGTACTGCAAATACAAATATTATGAAATTGTGAACAGCTTCATATTACCAGTTACAACTGGAATCGATGTCACATCGGATTACTGCACTTTGCCGATCTGGAGGTTATTCCTCACGATACTAGACACCTATCTCATAACTTTTGGCACGTCAGTGTGCAAGTGATATTTTTAATTATCATCACTATCAGTCCACGCATCATCATAGTGGGCGCCAGTCTGGTGTAACATACCATTTCTGAAATTGTGGGGACATTTGACATCGCACCATCTATGGTGTCACTTGTGTACCGGGAATACTTGATGGAAGACATTACCGTCCACCGTGGACAACACAGTGGCCACCTACGTGCATGATGATCGTGACCAGAGTCGTGTCTGGCCTAGAATTATATGTGGTAACCAACAAACCACACTCAAATGACAACCACATTCAATTCAGGGGTGGGGGTACGAGATGCAAGTTAGCTCAGTGTTCTTTAATTTCCATCAAACATGGGAGCAGAAGACCCACTCTTGTTAATACCTCGACATTGGACACAGCACCATAATTGAACTCTGGAGAGCTGGTAATGTGTGTTGTTGTGAATTTTCCAGTTGAGTCGATCTTATTGTAGGATTCGTGTGAAGTGCTGGCCACATAAAGCTGTAGATCCCTGTTGGTAACAAGACACCCTTTAGGCCGGTGATGGTTCTATAATCGTGTCTTCACATGATATGGGTTTGGCTTGCTGGTCCGCCTGAACACGTCATTGAACAGTAACTGTTACGTCGCAATAGTTCGTGACAATTTCCGCCCATTCAAGATTCCATGTACCATAAAAACGATGGATTATAAAAGCAGGATAATGTATTACGTCATCGGTTGCCCACAATTGATTCGAAGAATCTTTAGAAAGATTCCGGCAAATAATTTAACCACCACGTTTGTCTGATATCAGTTCAATCGGGCATTTATAGGATATCGTGAAGAGTTCTGTTCGCACGCAAGTTCTCGTTTCTACAAATGCTAGTGATCTGAGGAGAACCATCGGAAGAGATTGAAACAACAGCTATCCTCACGGCATGGTTTTTCCGACGACTTCTGATATCGATTTCACATCGAGGTGATAAAATTTCCTTTGATCTATTGTACAGTCCTATCGAAGCGAAATCGTTCAACAGTAGTTCAAACAGTATGGGTCATCCGTCCACCTGTGGCATCGATCGCATATCGAGGTGCTGCCCTTGACCGGGCTAAGTCTTCCTAATATTTCCTCTGATCTATTGTACAGCCCTATCGAAACGGAACGGTTCAAAAGCAGTTCAAACAGTATGCTTCTTCCGACCATTTTTGGTATCGATCCACATATCGAGGTGCTGCACTTGACCCGGCTAAGTCTTCCTAATATTTCCTCTGATCTATTGTACAGCCCTATCGAAACGGAACGGTTCAAAAGCAGTTCAAACAGTATGCTTCTTCCGACCACTTGTGGTATCGATCCCATATCGGTATGCTGTACTTGACCCGTCTAAGTCTTCCTATAATTTCCTCTGATCTATTTTACAACCCTATCGAAACGGAATGGTTCAAAAGCAGCAATTTCACTCTTGAAGATATACCTGATTTAATAATCATTATTCAAATTTCTGCAGCAATTTTACACGTGAATATCTACCTGAATATGTATTTTTCCTGAAGGTGTACTTGATTTGATAACCTTTTTTCAAAATACTGCAACCATTTTAGTCGTGAATATGTACCTGTTTTAATAAACATTATTCAAAATTCTGCACCAATTATACTCGGAATGGCATACCTGCCTTTCATTATCATTATTCAAAATCCTGCACAAATTTTACTCGGAATGGTATACCTGCTTTAGTAAACATTATTTAAAATTCTGCACCAATTTCACTCGTGAAGTTATAACAGCATTAATAATCATTATTCGAAATTCTGTACCAATTTTACTTGTGATAATATACCTGCTATAAAAATTTTTATTCGAAATTCTTCACCAAATATACCAGCTTTAATAATCATTATTAAGAATTCTGCACCAGTTATACTTGTGAAAACATACCTGCTTTAATAATCATTATTCAAAATTCTGCACCACTTTTACTCGTGAAGATATTTCTGCTTTAATAATGATAAATTCTGCACCAATTTTAGTCGGAATGGCATACCTGCTTTTAATTATCATTATTCGAAATTGTGCACAAATTTTACGGGTGACGATATACCTGCTTTAATAATCATTATTCAAAATTCTGCACCACTTTTACTCGGGAAGATATACCTACTTTAATAATCATTATTCAAAATTCTGCACCACTTTTACTAGTGAAGATATACCGGTTTTAATAATCATTATTCAAAATTCTTCATCACTTTTACTACTGACGATATACCTACTTTAATAATCATTATTCAAAATTCTGCACCACTTTTACTCGTGAAGACATACCTGTTTTAATAATCATTATTAAAAATTCTGCACCACTTTTACTCGTGAAGATATACCTACTTTAATAATCATTATTCAAAATTCTCCACCAATTTCACTCGTGAAGATATACTTGCTTTAATAATCGTTATTCAAATTTCTTCACCAATTTTACTTGTGAAGATATACCTGCTATAATAATTATTTGTCTAAATACTGCACTAATTTTACTCGTGAATATATATTTGCTTTAATAATCATTATTCAAAATTCTTGACCAATTTTACTCGGAAAGTTATACCTGCTTTAATAATCATTATTCTAAATTCTGCACCAATTTTACTCGTGATGATATACCAGCTTTAATAATCAACATAAAATATCATGTTACCGTTCATCTCGTGAAGATATACGTACTTTAATAATCAGCATTACAAATTCTCTGCCAATTTATTTTGTTAGGTATAGATGATTTAATAATCAATCTTAAAATTTCTACGC